TGCACGGGGTGCACAATTTTAAGGTCATTTATTAGTGCATACCCCGTGCGATGCACGTGATACATATGATAAATCAATTATTTCTATAGGACTTGTACGTCTAGACAAAATAATAATAGGCTTGGATCATCCATATTTCACATCTTTTAATAAGTGACATTTATTTAAACCAAAAAATTAACATGTTAATTAATATATAATTCTGCTAACACGTCATACTAATATTTATTTGATTTTAGAATACTTATTTATTCATTGATACAAGAAAAAATAAAATTTTTATTTATTTTCGTTCACCATATAATACTTAATTATTATTTTATTATAAAATTTATAGTCATATAATGTCATTATTATTATTTATAAAAGTTAGAAGTAGTCTTCTTTATGTAATGAAATTCAAAATAAAATTTTGAGTATAAATGTTTACAAAATACACACACATGTTTTTTAGAATTCAATTTTCTCATAATAATTCTTTTTTTAAAAAAAAAAATGATTTAGCAATTGCCAAAAAATAAATCCCTTACATAATCAAGAGATTTTTTTTATAATTTTCATCCTAAGGCTTTATAGTTTAGTTAACATACTATGCAATAGAAAAATATTTTACAATAAGTTCATTTTTGAAACATAACAAAAAAAGTGATAAAAACACTATCATAGTTGACAATAATATACAAATAAATAACATGCCGAAATTTTAAAGAATAACTAATATAATTTTATTATCTAACCATCAATAAAATCATTTAATGATGTGATCATTATCTTTTAAATGATAAATAATATTAATTTTTTTAAAAAAATATTAATTTTATATATTTAAATAAAGGTTAAAAAATATTACTCGACAAATATTAATTATAATGGATATCAGTAAAATCATTGGATAAATTAATTAAGGAAAAAATCTTTGAAATCATATCTGGATAGTAAATGTAAATATGCAAAATGCATATAATAAAAAATTTCCAAATAAGGTTTGCATTAAATGTGTGTTGACTTTTCTTGCTACTATTTTTGGTAAATATGTTGGCTTTTAATATATATATAGATTCTTAAATATTAAAATTAATGAGAAAACTATATTAAATTTAGTTTACTTTTTTACAAAAAAAAATATTACTATATATTTTAGAATGATATGTGTTACTTATGACTTACATGCGTTATATTATATTAGTTTTTATAACTTATACCATATAACTACTTGAAATATAAATATATTAGTTGATAAATAATTTTATTTTTCTAATTAATATTAAGAATAATTTTATTATTGTTATAAAGATAAATATAATTTTTTTTATACATACAATATGGATGTTAATTCGAAGCTCATCAAAAGAAGATTAATTTGATATATTACATATGTAAAACTGATAAAAAATACAAAAGTTATTAACTTTTAAAATATATATACAATTCAATAGTTATAATAAAGAATGGAGTATTAAAATGCAATTAATACATGTAACATGACAATAAATAATCAACATACTTATGGTAATCTGAACCTAATTATTTTTTGTTTGGAATTAAATTAAAATTTATCCAAGCCTAATAATGAAGCATGTAATTTTGCCACATATGATTCCGAAGTACCAGAAACAGTCACGTAGGCTCAGCGCGTTCTGCATTAATATATATATATATATATATATAAAAAAAAAAAACTCATGGTAAAAAGCTCCACTTGATTGTACTGCTAAATGGGCTTGTGAATTTACCTAAGGCCCAACAAGACCAATTGGTACGCTAAGCCCAAACAACAATACAACTGCGCCGAACGACGTCGTTCTTCACGCTATCGCACTACGAAATATTTGGAAAGTGAAAAACGAACGACCCAAAGCCCAAAATAGAATTTCTCAATCCCCACTCGAAAAACATATATAACGAAGTAAAAGGGTAAACTCGTAGGAGCAAAAGCTAGGGTTTCAACCACAATCGACAAAAAATTTCCAAATCAACACCGCCAGTT